TGCTGTCAAGACTCTCTACTTTGTTTTATATCTCTTTTCCTTCCATTTGGTCGGCTTTGATGGCTTCAAATTCTTTGTTGAAGCTCTGTTTTAGGTCTTCTATGAATTTCTTTACTTCCTTAATTTGGTGTTCAGTGTTTGTTCTCAAATCACTTAGTTGATTGGTTATGGTTTCTTTGGACTCCCATTCCTTCTGTTGGGTTCCATTCAGCATTCCCTTTGTGGTCTCCCTGACTTCCTTCAGCTCTTTGTTAATGGATTCCATGAATGCCTTTAGTGATCTTTGTGTATTCTCTATCTGCTCTCTCAATTCCTGTATTACTCTTTGATCAGCTTCTTCCCGTTAGTGGGATTCCTGCAGTTCTCTTTGAGTGTTCTCAGCCTGCTCACGCCATTCCTCCCTTTCTCTTTGAGTATTCTCAAGTTGCTCCCACAAATCCTGTATCAGTTTTTCAGTAGCTTCCTCACGCTTATGATATTCCTGTATAAACTTTTGGGATGCCTCCTCTCTCTCCCTATCACGCTCATACAGACTCCTTTGTAAGTTGTCAAACTTTTCATTTATCATGTTTGCCAGCAGTGTTTGTAGAGCTATTTGGGAACTCTCCTCTGGATTATTCATTATCTGTTCTGTCCCCTGGTTATCAAGATTGGGAATTGAGATACCTGGATTTGCCATTTTTCTTGTGTTTTTCCGGCTTACTCTGCCCATTTGAGATGAAAATAGCACCAGTTTTGTGCTAGAACACTATCTTAAGGCAACTATCAACCAACGTTTGCATTTGTACAGTCAATAGTCTACAGATACAATCTAGTTCAACAGATACATCTATTCAGCATCAAATAACTATATGTTAAAGGGCTTCAAACCGCAGAGAAGAATTTGGAAAACCAGAAATTATTAGGGTTAGGGAGAGTTGTGGGTAAAAAATAGGAATAGATTGGTGTGGGGAGGCACAGGGAGAGTTAACTATGTCCTAATCTCAATGCAGGAAATAGGTTGGGTAGGATGCAAGTAGAGAGAGAGAGAAAAAGAAGAAAGGGAAAAGGAAAGGGAAAGAGACCAGAAAAAAATAGAAACGTAAAAATTAATATTATTATGGAGATTAAAAGACAATCTATTTAGAGAGGAATGTGAATATATTGGGAGAAGGGGAGGGACATAGAGGAGATGTGAAAAACTTAAAAAAAATGCTTAAAATATTATATAGGTATAAAGAGGTAGTACTGCTATTAAGGAATTTAAGTCTCAGAGGTTTTGAATTGAGTAATAAATTTGTGGATTAAGTGTGTACACAATGGGGGATAGGGTCTACTAGTTAACTACGGGTTTATCTGAGGATGTGCAGGACAAGAGTTAGGTCACATACAGAAGAACAAAAGAGAGGAAAAGGTGAAAAGGATAAGAAAGGGAGAAAAAAAAGATCAGAAGTTCAGTAGAGCTAAACAAAAAACAAAAAGATAATTAAAAAAGAAAGAAAAAGAGAAAGAAGACAAGAAAAGAAAGGAAAACGCACATTCACGTATTCCTAAAATAAACATCATAAGAGGGGAAAAAAAAGTTACTGGAAAATAATTTTTTTTCAAAAAAGGCAAAAATTAAAGATTAATAAAAGTTTTAGAAAAGAAAAAAAATTTATATATATAAGGTACCAAAAAAAAAAAAGAAGAAGAAGAAGAAAAAAAAGTTCTTTGATTTTTTTTTTTTTTTTTTTTGGGAGGGGTGGGAAGAATCCTGTATCTCCCTTGTGTCTGTAACCAGCCTCTTGTTGGAGTCTCTGGTGTGCTTGAGGTCCTGTGGCTTGATTGGTTTCTTAAGTCAGTTTGTTCAAACAGGCAGAAAAATGCTCTGCTTTACCCAAGATTTTGAGATCCCCCTCCCAGGTTAGTTTAATGGGAAGCAGATCTGCTTTGAGAATCACAAAGGAGGGGGATGCAGTGATGAGGCTTGGTCTGGGTAGAGTTGAGGCCTTTCAACAAACAGTAGCTTTTCCCTGGGGCTATTTTGTGAAAAACTCACAGAGCCCAGCCTGGAGCCATTCTCAGGGTTTCTGTTTTTCAATTGATTGTGGAGGCTGCTAGAGGGAGGGGCAGCCTCTGGCTCTGGTTACCCAGTGGGGAAAGCCACTCCTATGGCTGGCGCCTGAGCTGGGTGACTTTTCCCTGGATGGAGCTGAGTCTGGCAGGTCACTTCGCAGTTAAGTTCTTGTGACATGCTAAATGACTCGTTTTATTCCAAGGCCTGAGTTGGAGCTAGCAGCTCCTCCGAGCTTTGAAGGTATCCAAGATGGAGATCTCCGGTACTGGGGAGGGAGGGGTGGCCTTCCCTCCTCTGCTCCCTGAGAAGGAGTGAGGACATCAGGCTTCTACTCACGCCGAGTCTTGGTTCCTGGGTCTTCTCTGGTCTGAGAACTGCAGGATGAAGATGTCTGCTTCTTGTCGGTTCTTGCTGGTGTTGAGTAGAATCCGCTCGCCCGCTGGGTCTGGCTCCTTCGTCCCGGACTCTCTGTGGCTCAGGTATGGCCGTGGCCGCCACCGCCGCAGCCACCGCTGCCGTCGCTGTGGCGGCTGCTGGCAAGAGCTCAGATGTGTCTCCTTGCCTTGGCTTCTCCTCTCTTGCCTAACTCTCTGTCCTGTGATAGCACACTTGGTGTGATTCTCTGGCTTAGGACTGTTCACTGGAACTCTAAAACTGCTTTCTATGCGAGAGCTTGTTCAGATTCCAGCTTCTCCTCCGCCATCTTCCCGGAATTCAAGATTATTTTTGTCCTATTAACCACCACCGGTAATTTTTTGTTTTCATGGTGGTAGTTATTCTGACAGAGATTAGATCAAATCTCAGTTTTTTGTTTTCATGGTGGTAGTTATTCTGACAGAGATTAGATCAAATCTCAGTATATGTTACTTTTCTGTGTGTATGTGTGTGTGTGTGTGTATGTGTGTGTGTGTGTGTTTGCGCGTGCACGCACCAGTCCTGAGGCTTGAACTCAGGACCTGGGTACTGTCCTGGAGCTAATTTGCTCAAGGTTAGTGCCCTACCAGTTGAGCAACAGCTCACTTTCAGCTTTCTGGCATTTGAGTAGAGATAAAAGCTTCACAGACTTTCTTGTCCAGGCTGGCTTTGAACTACAATCCTCAGTTCTCAACCTCCTGAGTAGCTAGAATTACAGGCATGAGCTTCCAGCGCCCAGCTGGATATATCCTTCTAAATGTGTCATCCCACACAGAAAACAAAAGGACAAATGTACTAAGGTCCACTGAAATAGTCTCTGTTGAAGTTTTCTCCTGATAATGATTTCATGAGCCAGAATGCTTCATTAGTCAAGTTTGTTGTTGTGTTGTTGTTGTTTTTGTCAGTCATAGGGCTTGAACTCTGGGTCTGAGCACTGTCCCTAGCTCAAGGTTAGCACTCTACCACTTGAGCCATAGTGCCACTTCTGGCTTTTTCTGCTTATGTGGTGCTGAGGAATCAAACCCAGGGCCTCATGCATGCAAGGCAAGCACTCTACCACTGAGCCACATTCCCAGCCCCCATTATTCAAGTTTAAAACTGAAACTTTTTCTTTTTCTTTGTGTCTCCTTTCTTCACATAGGGGTGGGTTTCAAAACTAATATTCTTTTTAAAAAAAATTTATTGTAAAAGTGATGTACAGATGGGTTATAGTTACATAAGTAAGTTATTGAGTACCATTCTTGTCTAATTTGTTACCCCCTCCCTCATTTTTCTATTTCTTTCCCCCGCAAGCCCCATATGTTGTAATGATCATTTCCAACATATTGTCTTGTGAGTATCACTACTGCATAGGTTCCCCCTTTGTCCTTTGTCTCACCATTTTGTTATTCCCCTTCCCTTCCCTAATTCAGATAAATGTAAATACAATACCCATGGTGCCAAAATCAAATACAGTGACAACAGGGGTTAAACCATAGTGGGGAAAACACAAAAGAAAACAGAAATCACCTAGTATATTAAGAACAACAATAAAGAAGAACCCCTTGTGTCCATGTCATGGAATCATTTCATATATGGTCATATGTACATAGCTAGCAGACCTGAGAAATTACTCTTCTGCTGTCCTTATTTGCTTAGCAAATCAATAAGGCTTATTTACCTTTTCTTTAAAACTATGTTCTCATTACTTAGGAATGGGCCCTGACTTCAGGGATAGAAATTTCAGTAGCACAAAAAGATAGAAGATATTTGAATTCATTTTTAATAGAATTAATTCCATCTATCCAGATTAGGAATGATCAGAAGGAAGATGGGGCTACCAAGAAGAATTTAAGGAAAAACAAAACTAACAAAACAAAATCCATAAGTTTCTACTTACAAATTATACAATATTGAGGCATGGAATAGTAACCATCAAGGTGTGTGTTGGATGATAAGATAAACAACTCAATTTGTAGATATCATAATCTACTAACCCATATCCTGACATAACAAAGAAATGAATATTCCTTGTCAAATAGCCCCAGTTAAAAATAACATAAAGTGAGAAACCTATACTCCTCTCGTGGCAGCTACTCTTACTTTGTATCATTTTTATCTGATAGTGACAAAAACATACACTGGGTAGAGATCTCTCTTTCCTTGACCTTTCCAGCCCTCACCATAGCCATTACATGATATTGTCATTCCAATGGTGTAATCACCTCCCCCAAGGTCCTCCCCCTTAATATCTTTAAGTGACAATGAATATCAACATGAATACTAGAAGGGACAAATATTCAAACCAGATCAAATAAAGCATGCCAAATTACAATGACTATCCAATAAAAAAATGTGAAGCCATAATTTAAGAAACAATGGAGTGAGAATTTAGACATTAAGATGAAAAGTATGCTGTACTAAGTATATATTGAGAGGAAGATGAGTAAATGAACTACCCATTAGATAAGCATAGTAGTGTCATTGAATGGAGCAGGAATTTTGAAAGGGTAAACTGGATACTATATGACACTGAAATATGTGAAATCTCATCTCATCTGCCACCCAGGTATATACCTTGAAGACAACAGAAGCAGAGGAGATTCGGGAACAATAGCAACATCTGGATCAGGTACTCTTGTCTCTATGGTCTGGAAAAGTAAGGGAAGGGACACAGCAGGAGAAGTAAAACACCAAAAGTTTATTAAAAAAAAAAAAAAAAAAGCAGAACTCTTGCCAAACAGGAGCAGTCTCAAGGGAGGGTACAGCCTGGAGTGAGTAATGTGGAGACTAATAAATTATCTCTAGGAGAGAGCTACATGACTCTCAAGGTCACTGGACAGCTTCTGGAACATATTAATTCCTAGACCTATACAGAAACAGTGTGCACAAGCTCTCCATATATCCTTTAGCTTCTGTGACTGAATATCCATTTTGATATAAACGTCTAGGGTCTAATAAGTCACAGTATATGTGGAAGTCTTCCAGGAATAATGGACTTCTTGAAGAGTAAAAAGTGCCGAGCATAAGCCTGAACAGAAGTATGTTTAAAATGACAAATGGACAGAAAAACAAAAAAAAATGAGTTAAGATATAGCACAAAAATAAGTATGAACTAATCTTCAATGTATAATGCCCTGGGTTCAATTCCTCAGTACCACATAAACAGAAAAAGGCAGAAGTGGTGCTGTGGCTCAAATGGTAGAGTGCTAGCATTAAGCAAAAGCTCAGGGACAATGCCCAGGACTGAGAAAAGAAGGAGGGGGGAGAAAGGAGGGAGAAAGGGGGGAAGGAGGGAGGGAGAGAGGAAAAGGGAGAGAGAGGGAGAGGGAGAGGAGAAAGGGAGAAAGGGAGAAGGGGAGAAAAGGAGAAAGGGAGAAAGAAAAGAACTATAAGTTTAACATAAGCTAATTAAGGAAAGACATAGAAATGACTTGCTTTTAAATACACACAAACTTGTCAGGCATAAATATTTTAAAACTCTATCCCTAAGAGATTTTCCAAACTGTGGGAAAAATAAAACTAATTACAAATGCCAAAATCAAGTAATTATATTGCATCTGAAAATACCTACTTTAAAAATCAGTATTTTGAGAAGTAGGAGATGGGATCTAACCCACATGAAAATGTTTTGAATGAAAACAGAAAGTATGTTGAAGACATACTTAGTGGATACAATGAGGTCACAGAGACACCTATAAATTGCAAGTTCATATATTTGACTGTGTTCCAACACTATAAAAGGTCAGCACACAATCAGAATAACTGAGTGTCTGTTTTTCACACAGCCATGGACTCAGAAGAGTCCAACACAGACTCTCTGCTCAAAGGAAAAAGGAGGCAAGACCTCCAAGAGATGCTGACAGAAGTAGGACTGTCTGCTGAATATTGGTTGCCTAAGCTACAGCAACATCTCGGTGTGAGCTGTGCCCAAGCCTTACAATACTTAGAAGAAAAGGACCTCCAGAAACTGAAGTCCCAGGTACAGCATTCATGGGAGAAAAAGGCCCTGGAGAAGTTGATTGACTTGGCACAATCAAATAGTATGTCAGCCTTGGACAAGTCACCAGTGCAGATGATAAGGAAAAGGCAAAAGCAGGCAGAGCAGACACTGGAGGAGCTGAAGGATTTGCTGTTAGAAGGAAGGTGCAGACAAGAAGAGGCAGTGAGGAGAAAAGAATCAGAGCTGAGGGAAGTAATGGAGATCCCTGAACAATACTGGCCACTACCTGAACAGCCACTAAGCAAGGTTGTGGAAAGCATCCAGACACAACTCAGTCTCACTGTGCAGACACTGTCCCACAGACAAAACCTCCCAGATAGAGATGTGGTAAGAAGGGCATCTGGAGGACTGGCCCTGCAGGGAATATATAAAACCAGTCACCAAATAGATCTGATCCAGAAGAGAGAAGAACTACTCAGTGTCCCCAAGGAATTCTTGCTTCATGGCCCAGAGCAAGGCACACGGATGGAAACTAGAGAATTTACATCTTCTCATACAGAATCCATGTTTACCAGGATTATAGAGACCCTGGGTTTCCGTGTAGCTGCCTCAAGCAAAGGTGAAGGTTGGGGTTTTAATTTAGAAGCTGGTGTGGATGGAAGCACACATTCAGAATCCAAGGAGACTCAACAATCATCGTCTAAGAAAACTTACTTCTGCTCAAGCAAGTTCAGCTACATCCCCTTGGCCTCCTGCCACTTTCCCATGGATCAACTCCAGCTCTCCAAGGCTGCTTTCCAGGAACTGAAAACCATTGAAAAACTTCTGAGTGAGACTTCAGACTCAGACAAACTGCAATTACTGAAGCAGAGAACTGAAAACTTCTTCCTCAGATTTGGTTCCCATGCTAACCAAGGACCCCTGCACCTGGGAGGAATCTACTGGTGGAAGGCCACTGCAGAGGGTTTCCAGAGTCACCAGATGGCTGAGGTGAAGCACCAGGCAGCAGAGGCCCTGGATATTTATATACGAGGCAGCTACAATGGCTTTGGAGTGAAAGTTGCTGCAGAAATAGATAGGTCACATTCACATTCAGAATGTTTCACTGAGAGGAAAAGTCTACAAAACCTCCAAACCACACTCCAGTTATCAGTGACCCAGACTGGAGGCCCAACAGAAGCAGATGGACTTGTCCAGTGGAAAGCTGGCCTTGTTGCCAGCAACCAGACCTGGCATGTTATTGACAGAGGGCTACACTTGGTGCCCATTTGGGACATCATCCTTTCCCACCACAGAGGTGATTTTAAGGATCCCCTTCAAGTGGCTACCTGGCTGAAAGACAGTTATGTCTCTCTGACTGGCCTTGATGCACAAATCCAGGATGGAGAGGAATTACTGAGTGCTGAGAAGGAGGTTAGAGAATTCCTAGAGGATGTGAAATCCTGGGAAGTATCTGATCCTGAAAAACAGCTTAAACAACTGATGGATTTCATGCAACTGTTGAGTCATAAAATGAAAAGTTATGACATTTGGATTAAGTTTTGCCTCACAGATTGGGACCTGCAAAATTTTCTACTAAATACATTCAACTTTTGCAAAAAGTCATCCATGTATAATACTAAATTTATTAAGTCTCAGTTGTGCAGTCTTTTGGATCCTCACGTCTACAAAGTGACAAACTTTCCTCAGGCTCATTCCATCATGCAGTGGATCTACCAGTCAGAGGCAGACCCAGAGCATGTCAACATCACCCAATTCTCTCAATTCATCAAAATCTTAAGAGAAATCCAAAACAACCTCGTGGAAATGAATGTTAAATCTGAGTCCACTGAAATAGTGAAAGAAGCTCAAAGAAAGGCCACCTATGAGGTCAGCATGGCTCTCAGCTGCTTCTTAAATTTCCTCAAAAGAACAGAGCAGACAGACGAATACATCCTGCTTCTCTCCATTGCAGCTGGTGCAGGTTACCAATTGACAAATGGCATTTTTCTTCATCTACTCACATGTGATGAGTTAAAGTTCCTATTGGAGGAAATGCAAACTGCCCTAAGTAAGTACCAGGAGCTTAAAAATGTTAGCAACCACAAGGCTCAGGCATTCCTGCTGCTCACAGGTCTGACCACCACAGCTGGATGCATAGCCATTTCCCCAGAAGAAAAGATACAACGATTGGCATCAATGAAACAACATATGGGACAATCATTGTCTAGTGAAGTTGTACATATCCTAGATAGACATGGAGTAGATCACGACTGGGTAAACTTAGAGAATGATTTGAGATTGCTCACTGATGGCAATTATGAAATCATGAACCCTTCATGGAAAATGAATGAGGTAAAGAGACCTTTGGAAAGACGTTCTGATGAACAGAAACATCCAGATCCACTACAGAGAAAAGAAAATAACAACAAGGATGTGATGAAAAATGTAGCTTTTCTAGACTTACTTCAGCGTCTAGGCCTAGAACATTACTACCCAAAAAAGATGAACAGAGATAATTTCCATCTCATCTACAAGACTTCTGTATATAACAACCAGCCCAAATCACAACAGGAACTACCCTTCTATTTCCTGCAGAAACTACTGGTACTAGATTGTGGGCTGAGACACCTGGACTTCAAAAATGAGGCAATCATAGAAAATCTTGTCAGTACAAGCACATCCATTCAGGAAAATGAGGATTTTAATCCCTATGAAGATTTCCCTGAAGATCCTGACACTCTTCTTAAACGAATGACCACTATACACAGGTCGAGCATTCACCCAATGGATATCCAGATGGCCATTTTTCACTGTGTAGATGATCTTGCCAGACAATATATTTTGGCCAAATTGTCCATTTGTCAATATGCTCTTCCACTTCTGGTTCCTAATCCTTGCACTTCTGAAATTGAATTCTCTCTTTGGTCTCTCAGAAAAATTAGGAGAAGTTGGCAACATGCAAATAAATCACCACAAGGGAAGAAGAGCAGCTACAAGAATCAGCAGATGTGTCAGGTCCCTACCTCCATCGTGTCCTTCATTAGAGTTGGAAATGGCCTCTCTGCATCCAAATCACTGATAATGAACTGCCTTCTCAGTAAACGTAAACATGATGTGTTTTTTCACAGACACAGCAGAGGAAGTAGCAAAGACTGTCTCTTGATGGGGGGTGTGGTGGAAATCTGCTGGTTCTGTCCCGCGGGGGAAGAAGAAGACAGATTTGACAACTGTGTGGCCTTCACTAATCTTCATGGAGATGCAAAGGAACATAGGAGGCAACTTGCTTTCCTACAGAAGGTCTCTTCTCTCATTGTGATCCTCATGTCAGCTTCTGATAAGAATGAAGAGAACCAAAAAATAGTGCTTGATCTGTGCAAGTCATCAAGACCTTTAATCTGTTTATTGGATGACAGAGAGAAAACCATGGCCAACAATTCTGGGAGAAGAGTAAAAATTGGCATTAGGAATAGAAATGAAGCTGAATTAACAGAGGAGCTCACACTGATAATCAGACATTTGCTAGAGATCTCTGACACTGCTCTCAGCTTAGAGGACTGTTCCTTGACTGCTCACAAGGAAGGATTTCTCGTGGATGAAGATCAGAGAGATTGCATGGAGGCCAAGGAAAAGGCACAGGTTATAATGGCCCTCCTGGGAGAAACAAACTTATCTCACATAAAGGAAAATTTCCTACCACTTCAGGGACAGCTGTGGCACAATTGGTGTAAGAAAGACAAAGAACTCTATCATCTGAGAGAAAAGGGAAACAAGAGCATTGAGCACCACAAAAGCCAGATTGAGACTGAAAAACAAACTATACGCCGAAAGCAATCGGAGAAAGCCATTATTCTTAATGATGTAATGAAGTCTGCCCTCCAAATTCTCCAACAACATTCAGAAATTCACACAAAACTCTACTTCTTACAGTGGTTGAGTTTGTTTTTAGAAAACCTCACCGCAGGAACTTTGGAAAAACTGCATGAGTGCCAAAGAACTTTATGGTCACAGATCAAAACAGAAAAACACAAAGCACAAATGAACAAGTCTCTGAAACCCTGTGTAAGTCAGATGGAAGCCATCTCCAAAGAAATTCAAGACTGTACCTTGGGAATTGAGCAATTTCTCAGAGAAGTTGGCCAGATCTATGAAGCCTTGGAAGAAACTTCTTACACAAGAGATAGCCTTTTTCTCTCCCTTCCCCAAATTGCAGCAGACCTGATGCTATCTGGAGTTCCCATTGAGCTGATGGATGGGGATGCCTCATATGTACCTCTAAAGTGGGTGTCAGCTGTGTTTGACAAGATCTCTGAGAAACTTGGAGACAAACGGATCTTCATTCTCTCTGTCCTTGGTCTTCAGAGCTCAGGGAAGTCCACCTTGCTCAATGCCCTTTTTGGGCTACAGTTCACTGTCAGTGCAGGCAGGTGTACCAGGGGAGTCTACATGCAACTCCTGAAGGTGGAGGAGACCTTCACAAAAGAACTTGGCTTTGACTTTGTGCTGATTGTAGACACAGAAGGACTTCGGGCTCCAGAACTCAACAACAAATCTCAGAACTGGGACAATGAACTGGCCACTTTTGTCATTGGACTTGGAAACTTGACCATCATCAATATTTTTGGAGAGAATCCATCAGAGATGCAGGATATACTTCAAATTGTTGTCCAGGCCTTTCTAAGGATGAAACAAGTCAAAATCACCCCAAGTTGTTTCTTCGTCCATCAGAATGTGGGAGAAGTGGCAGCTGAAGATCAAACCATGGAAGGTCGGCGGCGGCTAGAGCAGAAACTAGATGAAATGACAGCACTAGCTGCTGAACAAGAAGAATGTTCACATATAACCCGCTTCTGTGATGTCATTAAGTTTGATGCTAGCTCTCATATCTACTACTTTGCTCACCTCTGGGATGGCAATCCCCCAATGGCCCCTCCCAATCCTCGTTACAGCCACAATGTCCAAGAACTGAAAAGTAGAATTCTTTCCACTGCAAAACAGGAAAACAGGGGAAACATCCTGAAGATATCACATATGAAATCCCGAGTTCAAGATCTGTGGAGAGCCCTGGTGAGTGAAAACTTCATTTTCAATTTCAAGAACACTCGAGAGATCATGGCCATGGCAAAACTGGAAACAATGTACAACCAGTGGACCTGGCTTCTAAGGAGCCACCAGATGAACCTACAGACTCAGCTAACCAATCAGGTTAAAAATGGAAAACTTGTCATACTCAATACAAGCATAATTGTGGATCCCCTTACAGAAGTATATCAGAGTATCAAGCAATCATTTCAAAAATATTTTACAGAAGATCCAGATAGTGAAATAATCATTCAATGGAAAGCAAGTTTTGAAAATAAACTAGTAATCCTCAAAGAGACACTTATTTCAGACACTAAAAGAGAAATTAATGAACTTATTGCTCTAAAGAAAAGTCAAGAAAGACTAGATCAGAAAAAAATAGGTTATGAAACTGAATTATTAAAGAGGAGCCAAAAACTAGCTTTATCTCTAAAAGGTAAAGAATTGAGTGAGGAAGAATTGCATGAGAGATTCAACCAACTTTGGAAAAATTGGGTCTGTGATATATTATCAAACCTCCCTCAAGTCACAGAGCCTAACATTGATGTGGATCGTGAAAACATCCTTTTAGACTACTTCAAAAAAGAAAAACACATTAGGGAAGAGCTAAACCAAAAATCTAGAAAGACATTTGAGATCAATTATCACAAATATGTCCAGTTGAAAGGAACATTTAGATTCCTCAAAACTTTAGAAGTCTCTGATAAAGAATCCATTAAAGTGACTACTAAGCGTATTATTTCAAGATTTGAGGAAACTGTTAATAACATTGAGAGGCAAAAACGTGATTACAATCCCAGTGATTTCCATGAAATCCTTAGACTAATCGACGAGGAAGTGAAGTCTGAACCTAATGAAAAATATACATTTACAAGCAACTACAACCTTGACTTATCTTTGCATTTATCCCAGAGAGCATCAGAGATTTTTAAGGAAAGGCACAGGGCATTCAAGGAAGCAAATGATCCTGTGAAATACCTGGAAAGCAAGAAAGATGAATTGTTCCTGAGTTTTAAGATCTCCTGCCAAGGAGCCACCTCCATCACAACATTTGCTGATTTTCTGTGGCAGAAGCTCACTCCTGCTATATCCGACACCATCTGGGGGAAAATGCCCCTTAAAATAGCTGAGTACCTGCGATCTACCTGTCCTGCATTCAATGGAAACAGGGCAAAACTGGAGAAGCACATCCTCATCTCTCTGGCAGAAGAAGAAAACTTTGATAAGTATTGGCAATATATTCATGATCCCAAATTTTTTTGTAGCAGCTACATTCAAAACCATATTAAACAATACTGTTTCAATGAAGGAGTTGAAAAAATAAAGACATTTATTCAAATAAGTTTAGGTGACATAAAGAATGCCATTCTCTCTGCCATTCATGAGTCCACAGAAGTAGCTAAAGATAAAAGCAGCACTGCATCTGAGTGGTTGGATTTGTTTTGTGATCACCTGGGGAGCAATTTGATCTTTCCACGAAGAGATTTGGTAAATATTGAACACCAGGAGATAAAAGATACTGAGTTCCTCAAAGAAGCCATGAGTAAACCTTTGGATCTCACAATGAAGGACATAGGAGAGAAATTGTCAGGTCTGCCTATACATGAGATGGTTCCTAAAATTGAGGAAATTCTCTCTGAACATCTCTGTGGCTGCTGGAAACAATGTCCCATATGTAATGCAATTTGTACTAACACAATTCCTAATCATGACGGTGACCACAGTGTTCCTTTCCATCGTCCTCAGGCTGTCAATGGATGGAGTTGGTATAAAACAGACAACTTTGTCATAAATTCCTGTTCTACTTCAGTAGCCAGTGATGATTACATGATTTTAGGTGATGGCCGGGAATTCCTATATAAGAACTATCGACAGGCAGGAGGAGATTTTGCCACTTGGAGCATCACCGCAGATTTATCCACACAGCCATACTGGAAGTGGTTTATATCACACTTCAGATCAAATCTAGAAGAAAAGTACAAGTATAAATTTAAAGGCAAAGGTGAAATCCCTAATACATGGTTACAAATCACAAAGCAGGATGTGCTTAATGACTTGAAAAAATAGCACTGTTTTCTTACCACAAAGAAGCATATCTTTAAAAACTAAAAGTTACAGGGCCTAAATTGTCCTAAATCACAACCTCTTCACAGTAACAACCTTCAATGTTTTCCTTATTAAAATGCAACATTAAAATTTGAATATTTTCTCTAAAAGAATTTCATTTCTCTCTGTTTACATTCCTTTTGGTGTGCATGTTTCATATATGGAAGTTACATGTAAATAATAAACATATACAAAAACATATACAGGGTTATATGCATATACATACAAATAGACTAAAGGATTTTATACTCAGGGAAGGATTACAAACTTGTAACTCCTCTGAACAACTCACCAACAATTCCACAAAATGAAGACTAGGAAGCTGAAACATGTTTTCTTGACAGAGGAGGGAAGGCAGAGAAAGGGAGGTAGAGAGGGGAAGCAGACCAATTGAGAAGAAAGGTGCATGAATAGAGTCAATGTACATTTGAAAAAATGAGCCCTTTGAGCCAGGTGTGGTGGCTTATGCCTATAATCCTAGCTACTCAGGAGGCTGAGATCTGAGGATTGCAGTTCAAAGCCAGCTGGGGCAGAAAAGGCCATGAGACTCTTATCTCCAATAAACTACTCAGAAAATTAGAAGTGGCGCTGTGGTAGAGTTGAAGAGCTGAGGAACAGTGCCCAGGCCCAGAGTTCAAGCCCCATGACCAACTTAAAAAAAAATGAGCCCTGTAACTTGAGGGTATACATGGAATTGAGAACGATGGGAGAAACAATGGAAGCAATGGCGTTGATCAAGATGCATTATACTCATAATCAGACTTGTTGAATTTTATCCCCTTTGTACAACTACTTAAATTAGTAAAAGAAAAAATATAAAACATAAATGTATGATTAAACAAATGTATGATTACAATAAAATAAAATCCATTTACAAAACTCTTCCTACTTCAAACAAGTTGTGCATATTTCAAATATAATGTCTCAGAGAAAGATTTTGTTTGCTTTTATATTGGTATGAGGCCTTGAATTCAGGATCTTGTATGCTGGCTTAGCTTTATCACTCATGGCTAGGGTTCTTCAAGTTAAGCCATACTTCCAGTCCATCATTTTCTCTGGTTAATTGGAAAGGAGCCTCAAAGACTTTACTGTCTAAGCTAGGTTCAAACTACCATCCTTAGATTTAAGCTTCCTGAGTAGTCAGGATTATAGGTCTAAACCATCAGTGCCTAGCAAAGAAGTTCATTTTTAAGAAGAAAACTTAAATCATTGCTTGATACCACAAATTTCTGTAGACAGTGCAAACGGGCAACCCAGGGAACAGTAGTCAAAAACTTGAATCTTCAAAGATGCGTGGTAGGATTACTGGCCTCATCCCATTTTGGCCCATAAGGTGGCTTCAAATATATTCTCTCAATTTCCAGTCAAATAAATCTTGCATCCAGAAATCTTAGAGCAGTAAAACTACAGCAGGCATAATTGTCTCAAACATCATTTGCCCTCTTATTTTGTGGATTGAAAAAAAAAATTAACGGTGCTGGTGAGAATTAAAAAGACCAGTCCACATCATGGTCCTGTTGATAGAGTTGCTGAATTCTTGAAAAGGGTTAACAAATATTTGCTGAATGTTAGTTATGGTTGGTTAAGGAATACATGTTGTCTGAGAACTATCATTAGTTACTATGGATTTTAAAGCCAAATTATTTTGTAAATTATTATTTTAAATTTTTTGATAAATTCCTCTGCTATTAAGCAGTGTGATTACTAACGTTGCTATTCAGATGACACAAAACATACCCTGGGAAGAGGTAAATTGGAAGAGAGAGGTTATTATATAAAAATGGGGGTTTCTGTAGTAGTAGTGGAAAAAATAATGCTGCCAACAAGGTGCAATCAGAATTGCAAAAATGACAACTGTTATTAAGAGTGATGACAACAGTGGGTTGGAATCATTGGAGAAGACTTCAGGCGAGATTGGCAAGATGGAGATACATGGGTTGAGAAGTAAGTCATAAAATGAGAGGTGGCCAGAGCTATAAGGTCAAAATGGATCTCATGATCAGTCAACTGAATGTGGGGAATAGAAAAGCAGAAACTCAAGATCATTGCATACAGATTTATGGAAGTTCAACACAGTTAAAGTAGATCTCCAAAGTACAAGCAGTAATATGTATATGAATGGGGTTTGGGCAGTAACTCTAAAATTATGAAATTATATGAAGTAAAAAGTATGTAGATTTTAAAATTAAAACTCATAGAAGACCATATAATAGAGGTCATGAAAGACTGATTGCAAGAGAAAGGAGAAAAAAAAAGGATGGTCAAGGGTAAACTTTCAGATACACAAGAGGAATAAGTTCTGGCTGCATAGCAATAATTTCAGTTCAGTGACTACAGAACATTCAAAATTGCTGGAAGTGAATTTACATGCTCTTGCTACAGAAAAATTATAAATATGTGAGGTGATGAATATGTTTTTAGCTTCATTTGCACATTCCTTAATGTGGACATGTATAAAAGCATCATATTGTACCTACCGTTATATGAAATTACTATCTGTCAATAAAAGTACAATTAATACAACAAAATCAAAAGGTAAGTATTGCCTGTGGCTCATGCCTGTAATCCTAGCTACTCAAAAGGCTGAGATCTGAAGACCAGAGTTCAACACCAGCCTACATAGATGTCTATGACTTATCTCTAATAAATTCTTCCCCCAAAAAAAGCTGAAAGTGGAGCTGTGGATTAAATGGTACAGTGCTAAGAGCCCAGGAACAGTGCTCAGGCCAAGAGTTTAAGCCCCAGGATGGCACAAAAGAAAAATGTTACTCACTAAAATAAATGTGCAAAGTTGTACTCAGAAGTTTTGAAGTGGGTCACTTTTTCTTAGAGGCAGATAATAGGAACACATAATAGGAACACAACAACGTCTAGGGAATAGGGTATGTCCAAAAATTGACCCTTTATTTCCCCTATGCTTTTCCTTTGGACTGTGGAGAAAGTTATAGGAATCATACAATTTGCATTTTACCTTCCTGTCAAAACTGTGATGCTTCTTATTCTGATCCTTCAGTATGGTACCAACATAAAACTAAGATATTATCACTGACTCTCAGATGATGAACACTAAACTTCAATCTCTGTAGTAAGAATGCCTGTGAGATCTTGGCCATGTAATTTAGTTTCTGTGTACTGAGGCACCGTAAGAGTGAAATAATACATTTCTTATATTCTTTTTAAGAAGAATAATTGCTATACACAAAACACTGAAGACAGTACCACAGCAAGAGTGTGTGTATGAGTGTGTAAAATGCATATATGTGTGTGCACATATATATGCATATATATATGTGCATATATATATATATATATATATATATATATATATATATAGCCTCTCACAGCTTCCAGAAGCCTTACTAACATTCCATTAGGACCACCATATATATTCTTATTGCAAAAATACTGTACAGAGGGGCTACAGTTACATGAGTAGGGTAATGAGTATATTTCCTATCGAACTTTGTTACCTCCTCCTTTGTCTTTCCCCTACCATCCCTTCCCTTCCCACCTCCTCAACTCCTTCCCCCTCCCCCCAGAAATTGTAAAGTTCGTTTTCAACATAGTGTCTTATACATCTCATTTTTACAATGGGTCAACCTGTATCCTTATTTAAGCATTTTGTTATATTCCTTCCCCTCCCCAAATTATAAAAATGTATATACAAAATGCAGGACACCAGAATCAGCTACAGTGGAAACAGTGGTTATATTGTGTGGGGGAGAACATACAAAAGAAACCAAAGAATCACATAGTGCATTATAAGTATGTATCTGCAACTCGAATTTTTCAGCATGGAGTTCTTGGAAAATCACATTGGAAAATAAAGCTAGAATGTCAATAAATATGATTGTAACTTAAAAGCTCTTTTAAATGCATTACAGAATATTTTAGTCCTTTGGCAACTTATTTTCCCCTTGTTGCTGTTCCAAGCACTAATCAATCTAAGACATATTAGTCACTGGCAAAAACTTTATTGGTGTGAATGATCTTATGTGTTAAGTTCCTCAGAGCCTGAGACATAGATTTGCATGCAAGTGATTTATTACCGAAGTCATTCCAGTGAAGTTAAATGATGGGGAGAGGGAGCTAAGAAGAGAACGGGAATTGTGATATGAAGTGAAGTAATAAGGATAAGTCAAGTGTTCAGAGAATGCTATGTAAAAATTATAATAATGGAAACCTATGAACAGATGACACAATAAAATACGATTAGTGTTAGGGAAATACAAGGTGGAAATGTTTCCAAACATGAGGAAACAAGTGATTGTAGGTCAGGGATGTTTTCACAGATAGTTTTAAAAAGGGTAGTAGGCTCAGCAACTTTTCAACAAAAGAGTATATAGTGATCATTTGTTTAAATGCCCCTTTCCTATTTCCCCTGCTCCCTGTGTGAATCACATGGACAATTTCTTCTTTGTATTTTCTATTTGTTATAGTGCCCAATATTCAATGAACTGTCAGCAACCATTGCACTTAGATAGGGATTACATTTGAAATTTACTACTTAGAAATTACTGAGCATTCTGTAAAGGAGAAAAAGGGACAATCATGTAGGGTAAAGAAGGCTACTGACACAAGTTGAAATTTCCTCCAGCTTTCCAAACTCAAATAAAGATGAGGAAACATGATTAGGAAAGAGAAAAGAGTGGAAGAAAGGTGTTTCCATATGAAGATTTGAATTCTCCTTTTCATCTTCTGAAAACCTATTTAAAGGGAGATCACAATGACTTTGAAGTATGGTAATCTGGAATAAATGCTACTAAGGCTTACAATTAAAATTCAAATGATATAGTGATACATTTTACTTTCTTTATATTACTCTGTAATCTAAGATTCCCCTGTTAACACCATCCATTGATTGGCAGGAGAAAAATAAGTAACTACATGCAATCTAGTTTTAACTTGATCCAATGTGGCCATTTAAATATAATTTCAGGAATGGATTCTCTATTGGATAAAACAATACTTGACCAACCCAAGGGATTCTCCTTCCTCCTCTTCTCCTAATGTTTGGTGTAAAGGGTATAATTTATATCATTGGCAGACAGCATAGAGGTGCTAGCCTTCAGCTTGATTTTTATGTTATCCTTCTGCCATCTGCTGGTGTTTA